GAACACGAGCAGGTCACCTTCAAGAGCGTTAGGAGGGAGTCCACTGCCCGGCTGTGGTTTGCGCTCCTCCCTGAGCTGCCGTTTTGGGACACCTTTGCCGATTCGGGAGTGGCGACTGGGCGCACCCACAAGCACACTAAGGGGGCAAGGAGACCAGGGTTGCCGTTTTCCACACCAATGGAGTTTGACGGAAAGAAACAGGCGTCTCTCTGGGGTGACTGGTTGCTACCGATGGAAGGGTTGGAAAGCATAAGGCTCCTCGGGCGGCTACGGAAGCACAGGCAACATGTGTCGTGTCTGACGTGGCGCTTAAAGAGAAGTTAAAACACAAAGGAAAAAAAGAGAGACCCGATCCATGGGGGGAAACTTGTTCATACTGCTCCATAGTAGGTGGTTGCTAACGGTCAGGTGCCACTGTGTGGGTGCTGACTCAGCCGAGCCAATGCACAACAGAATGGAACGGTGCTGGGTCCTGCGCCAGCCTCACAACTGTGGTGACAGCTGAGCCTATTAGATTAGGAAGTGAATTAACCTAACAATGCCAGTACTTTAAATAGCTGGTCTGGATTTATGAATCATCCTCAAACTAGCCCTACCAACCAGGATGACAGAATCTTAAGTCTGAGCTCTTCTGGGTAAATAGTCTGAATATATCAAACTTTCTAAACACTATGGTTTAAAACATACAAACAAGCAAGCATGAACTGCTAACACCTGTGTTCAAGTTTGCAATAATTAGTGACTGACAGGAAGGTGGAAGGTTACATCATGCAGCTATGCCATCCCAATGCGGGCAGATGGGGCCACCCGTCAACACTGCAGAACTTTCAGAGTCAAGAGAGGGGCTCTGGAGACTTTTTAACAGGACACGGCAGTGATCTCAAAGTGCAAACGCTGCACATAAAGCTTTACTGGTTTTCGATGAAGCACAGGATTTCCTAGGAAGGCAGCGTATGCAGCTGTAGTGAACACCTGCTGCACGGTTTAGATTTTTGCTAAAACACATTTGATTTTGGCATGTTCCTCTGCCTAGTTTGAACAGTCTTCAAAACTGTTAAAATTACAGGTAACAAAAATGGCATCTGGCAGTGGAGTGGCCTCCATTTCCGACAGAATACAAAATTTAGAGGTAGCTGCAGATTATTTTCATGATTTAATCAAATTAATAATTTAATTACGAGCGATGGTAATTCGACCATTCTTCAACCAAGCAGTGTCCTGAATGAAATGTGACAACGTTCCTATTTGGTTTGAGTTAGCACAGCCCAAAAAAAGATCAACTCTCCATTTTGTTGTGTTCTGTCTAAATGAAATTGCAACAGATGAAACAAGAAAAGAACTTCTTCCCAGGGCCTCAATGTAGCTAGGGATTTCAAGTTCTGCTTCCTCAAGTGCAAGGTTCCTTTCTTCCTTATGATACACTTACTTTGCTGTCAAACATGTATCAAGGATCTAAAAAATATCTCAATGCAAAAATAAAATGCACAATTACATTTTAAGTGTTTCATGGAAACTTTTTTTTTTTAAGATGAGTGGTATCCCATGTAAAAATAACCTGGTTTTTAAGCCAACTTCTTTTGAAGTAGGGCATCTTGTGCATTTCCCAACTGGCTATGAATTAAGGAGAACAGGGAGGTTTTGTAACGAGAACTGGGAGAGAAGCCTGTGGTTCAGAAGGAAGGGCAGAGGAGAAATTCGAGGGCAAGTTTGTCACCATGAGAGATCACTCAGGATTCCTTTTAATCCGTGGGCAGCCTAGGGAGCTGGGGTAAGATCCAGTCCCCATCTCTGGCTCAAAGCACTGAAACCGAAGACGGAGTTTCAGAGAGGTAGGTAGTGAAACCTCTGGGGTCAGGGGACAGGCAGCAACATTTCCTTAGCTGTACTCTAAGGTACTTGTCTTGATCTCACTCTAACGTGAAGGCGCTCGGCCTCTTTTCAGAATTGCTGAACTGATTAAAGACAACACCAGAAATAAATGTGCGTACTGAGTCACATCTGGAGAAATACCACAGTGTTCATAGTGGTTCTCTTTGCCTGGTGATTTACACACAATCTTTTTGCGTTCGTGCTTAACTGTATTTTCTACTTCCCTTTACCTCTGTAATTGATACAGGTCAGTCACTCAGCACAGTCCCGAGGCCTACACTGGCTCGAGATGACAGTTACCCTCATTATTCATACAAAACCATAGAGCAAGGTAAGAGCCCTCAGTGAGCGCCTGCCCTTTCTCACTGGCGTCTACATAAACGGACATTGCTCTCTGGAGAAGAGTCGAACAAACAACAGAAATACAAGTTAACTCCACACATAATGTCCACCGCAGAGGTCCCACGCCTGAGCCAAATGAAAGGTCACAGCTTAGAGGAATGGTCTTCAAGCGCTAAGATTGATGGTTAGAAAGAGTGGCCAGGCCACGGGGAAGCTCAGCCAAGGTGATGCAGCCAGGCATTTCAGAATGAAATTTGCTCCAGTCACACAAAACGAATATGTAAATACCACTTACCTCCCTAGTTACTGTGAATTAATTATGCGTTCTCCTGGAAGAACAGACACCGCCCAACAGAATGCCCAGCAATAAAGTAGTGATGATTTGGAGTTTATGCGGAGCAATGGTTACGCAAGATAGGAACCTAAACACGGTATTATTTTGCTTCGGTTATCTAAGAACCTTAACTAATAATTCACTGTAAGCTTCAAAACTCGAAAACAAAAACCTTTCAGCCACCACAAATATGGGCAGGGCTTCAAAAACCCTGAGGAAAAATGGAATAACGTGATCATGCCAATTTTCCCATGAACTTTCTGAAGCTTCTTCGTATTGCTTAACCAAAATCACTAGCGTTATAGTTGCAAACTACTAAAGATCAATGCATCTATGTTTACTGTACAAGAAACTGCACATTTTCAAGAATGCATTGAATTAAGCTAAATCTGGTAACAAATACTGTGGCCTAAAATGAGTGTTGAAATCCCTTTGACCTCAACTACAGTCAAGTAATTCCCTGTGGAGAGGAGACCAAAGTTAAATGCCTACACAATAAATAATTCAGGGGATTTGAACTTTGAATAGGATGAGGTTTTTTGTTGTTATCTCAATTAATACTTCTAGATTTTCCGTGAGACTTTTCCATTTCTACCGTCTCACTGTGCTGTGATGTACAAGCAACAACTTGGGAACATTTTCGGTCATTTTAAGTTTCTAATAAATTTGATCATCAAACTTCATTGACACGAATTTCTAACAGAGCAAAGGAAATTCCGTTGATGACCCAAGTTCAAACACAAAGTAAAACAACAACAACTATATAACAGTCTCTTTGCCACGATCTAAGACTTTGCATATTATGTAAAAATTCTGTAACTTCTAAAATGAAGGGCACCTTTAATCCCTCCTCCTCCCTGGCTCCCCTCCCCAAAGAAAGAGATACAGCTAAAAATACTGGGTTTTCACACACTGTAAAAAATGAGGCACAGGAGCTACTAAGTAAAGTTTTAAAAAAAGAGTATGGAAATAATTTGATGTCAAGCTTATATAAACACTTCATATTCTGGATCAGACCACATACATTTTGTGAAAGTAAAGCTTTGTGTAGGTAAAGTTAGCGTTGCTTCCTCATGGTTGATAAGAGAATTTTTAAAATTAAAAAAATAAAGCCATTTATTAAGTAGACTACAAATTAAGAGCTGGGGTGGGAAGGAAAAGCAGGAGCTGAGGACACGGCAGCCAAGAAACAAAACAAAACTGGGATGGCGTCCCTACTTTGTCTTGCCTGAGAACCACCGTGTTTTTGTAGTCTGTACCAATAATTACGTTTACTCACCCACAAGAACGTTTCTTTTAAGCCTATAAATACTATGTCAGTGATACTAAACTATCTCCGTTGGCTTGTTTGTAAAAAGAAAAATATATTATATATTTATATTTTTATAAAGTTAATGAGCACTGAGGGCAGAGGAAAGGGGATGAGAGAGAGTGTGTAATCACAGTTTCTCTGGACACAGTAACCAAACTGGGGTCTTGCTCCAGCCGCCTGGTCAAGCAGTGTCTGAGGAGGAGTCATAGGAGGCGGAGACGATGAAATTGCTGCTGTTGGGGTGGCCGGCCACCGACTGGGCGGCCTGCTGGCTCAGATTGTTACAGATAAGCACCAGCTGGTTGCTCTGGGCCTCGGACAGCGTGCTGCAGCTCTGATACACACTGAAGTTGGTCTTCCTGCCGGGGATGTTGCCCTTCTCGCACATGGTCTTCACCATCTTGGCCAGCTTGTTCTTGCCCAGGGCCTGGCAGTTGTACCAATGCAGAGCCGCCAAGTTCACCACGGGCTTGATGGACAAGTAGAAAGGAGCATCCTCGTAGCGCATGGCAGGAGGCCGCCGCTGGGCATACTCCTTATAGTCCTGCACGGGGCAGGTCTGGGGGGCGTGCTGGGTGGCATACACACGGGAGTCTGTGCCCCCTCTCTTGGTCTTGGCATTCAGATCACCCGTGTCCTGGCCCATCCACTCCAGGTACTCCAGGCCGGTTTCGGTCACACGGAGCCGGATGTCACCCCATTTCAAGGTCGACCCGTGGAAACCCGTGCAGTGCCCAAAGGCCTTTGTGTTGTTGAGCCAGACCAGGTTGAGCAGACCCTCAGGGTTATAGCGGCTGAGGAGTCCCCTTTTCCGCAGAATGAGCTCGTCGGCGAAGGTGAGCTTCATGGACTTGTGTGGCTTGTTCCCTTTGCCTTTGCAGCGGAGCTCAATTTGCTTCTGCTTCAGGGCCTCCTGGGAACGCTTGAATTCCTTATCTCGGGTGATGCTATAGCCGTACCTGTGCTCTTTCAGGTAGCGCTCCAGGCCGCACTGGTAATTGGCCAGGCTGTTGGGTTCGTACTCAGACCCATCCTTCTGCCTGGCATCCACAAAGAAGGAGGCCAGGTAAGCGTCCAACTCCTTGCAAGGGATGACATAAATCTCGCGGCTCTCCGAGGGGTACTTGGAGATGAGGAACTCGCGGAAGTTGCGGAGCGCAGTCTGCGTGCTCCGGATGGTCTTCTCGTTCTGCTCCCTGCTGAGCTCAGCGGCTCTTTCATCCTGGTCTGCAACAAATTGGGGAGGGGAGGGGCAGAGAGGGGGGTGATGAGTTCAGACAATGCACGTGCTACTCTGAAATAAAGTTTCCTGTAGTACTGAAAGGGGAAGGAAGGAATGCTGGTGAACATTATTTACATACCTGTCCCTTTATAATCGCCACCTTCAGTTTCACAAATGATGTGCTCGCCAACAGGGCGGCCCATTGCAATCCAGAAAGAGTGAGGTGAGAGGCAGCTTCCATTTGGAGGGCAATGTGCGGCCGAGTGTGAGGCCTGGCCTACTGCACTACAGGAGGAGGTGACCACTGTGTCCTGAAGCACTTCATTTGTGAGACCAGAGGCTACACTGGTTCTCTTTCATTCAATGACACAGAATCATGTATACTCGTGATTTTCTAACACATCCCTAGAGGTCTATATTTAAAAATGATTACACATCATTCACAATAGATGCTTGCTCTTCTACAGCAATTCAGGTAAACACAGTCTATAAATATTCTGTCTGTGATTGCAGAGAACCGTGTGTGTAATGAGTGTTAAAATTATTTGGTTGATGAGGGCAATGAATGTACAAATGCGCTTTACACAATTGATGTGTGTGTGAGTTGTGATGAGAGTTGTATGAGCCCCTAATAAAATGATTAAACAAACACTATTTGGTGTACAGGAGGGTGATGAAGATGAAATGTTAGCGCTGAAAGAACAACACAATCTGAATTCAGTTATCATATTCAAATATGAAAAAGTAGCGCCTGCCTCTTGGATACATTCTCTTCTAAACTTCATTCTTTCTATCTCACTACTACTGGTGTGTCCTTTCATTAAGCCTAGCGCATCATGATGTACTGCTGCTTGTGGTGGTGAGCCTGACACTTCACTGTGCCTAAGGACCACTCAGGACCAAGATCAAACTGCAGGCTGACACAGGTAGGTTCTAAGAACCTGCATCTTAACCAGCAACTCTGACTGGCATCCAAACCCCCTGCAGGAAACCCTAATCCATTTGACTCGTTCTTTCATAATGATTAACTTAAGGAGAGTTTAAATTAAATTTAGTTGGTTTCATTTCAGTAGTATGTCATTTAAATCTGAGCTCTTCCCATTAACAATGTTTAACCTGAAAAGCTCTTTGTCTGGAAAATGTTTAGTAGGGGTGGGGGTGGGGGAGTAGGATGTTAATTTAATACACCATAAAAAAAATATGAAACTTCCAGCTCTAAAGTCTAAGCAAGCATTCTGCTTGTCCCAATTATTGAAGTAACTTTTAGCTCACTTCATTAAGTTGCACAACACAAGTCTTTCTAATTACCACACAACACAATTAAAATAGTTTCTAACACACTGGATTTTGACTCAAAAAAAGTGCACTACTTTCTATATTACTACATACCTTTATGAAAGTTTTAAAATAGCAATTCTAAGGCATAGTTGCCAAAACCCACATAACTTTAAAAAATGAAATGAATTAATATCCACTAATTAGATGAATTTATAGTCACTTTCGAGAACATTTATAAAGTTCAAATACACAAATTGAACTTTCTTTTATACTATGTTCTTCCAGTTGAAATTGCTCACATTATTGACAACACAGATGCACATCTTTTTTTTATAAATTAAATAATCATTTTATTAGGGGCGATGTACATCTTTCCATCAGAAATCTGAAAGCCGTGGTATGAATCTAACTTCATGCACTGGCTTCCGTAACTGTCTATAGGTCATGTCAAAGGGGCTGGCAGCTGTATTTTGGCCTCTTGATCAGTTATTGTTATTGCAGTTGTCAAAGTGAGGTCCATGAAAGATTTCCAAGAAATAAGACACCCTTGGATAATTTCGGGGGGAAATTTTCTAGTTTTTCAACTTCCACACAAATGTTTTCCTAACTTATTTTTCTCATATGAAGACCAAGTTTACAGAGTCCTGTGGTCCATCCTTGGGGGCACAGGTTCCCAAACTTATTTGGCCTACTGCCCCCTTATCAGGAAAGAAAAATAAAAAATTGTGTCCCCCTGGCAATTAAAAACGTTTGTACGATGTGGTATTAAGTTAAATGGAATGGGGGTGAGGGGGCCAGCCCCCATCTGCTGCTACTAATACTACCCACGGGTTCAGTAAGCACAATTATGCGGTTGAGATATATAAGCGTTATATTAAAGTCATCGAGAGCATGAGAGATAATACAATTATACCGTCAGACGTATTACATGGTAGCATTGCTCACCTCCGCCCCGCTTGGTGGTCCTCGTGAGGGGAACCCGGCCGCCAGAGCAAGAGCCGCCTCCCTCGCGGGAGCAGCCGCCCTCATCCTCCTCCCTCCCGAGAACCAGGGAGCCTCCTTATTTATTGCTAACCACGCATCATATCACTTTAGGGGGATCTGATTACAGAATCATACATCACAGAAAGGGACAATATAATTCACAACAACCTACATCATAGTGAGGGGTTGCAAAATAGGCAATACAAGCAATAGGAGGGGGATGACCTAGGGGTGAACGCGCAATAGTAAGAGGAGGGAATAGGGGAGCATGTGTGGCAAGATGGGTGGACCCTGGACTCGATAAGCTTAGTCATCTTAGAGTAGTCCCGGGCTTGCCTTTGGGCACTGCTTCAAGGGAAGAATAGCAGAAGGGACTGGGCCCTACTTAGGGTGAGCCAGACTATACAGTCTGGTTGCTCCGGATGACTGATGTTAAGGAGAATAACCTCTGACCTACTTTCGCTGACCGCCTAGTGTACAGTCATTCTCAAGCAGCTAAGTCTGGTACATATTTTGGGGGAAGACAGCTTGAGAGAAATCCTCTGTTCCCCACAGTACAAGAGCCCATGTTCAAGGATAAAGTGTGGGCATCTGCTTCTGCAGCCCCCCCCCCCCAATCGGTCCAGGGTCCCTCATGGGCATGGCACCCCCACTGTGGGAAGCACAGCTCGAGGGTGTACATGACTTTAGAAAGGCAAACAAAATTTAGAGATCAATAAAGAAACCCAGGGGGCTTCCTGTGTCTCACTTACACATGGTTCCCTGTCAGTGAAATGTGCCCTTAGAAACAGTCTGTTGAGCCCTGAGTTGGAGTGTTCTGTATTGTGGCCAGCTGGTGTGGAGAGGGGAGGCTGAGAGCAGGCGGACCTTGCAGGACAACAAGCACATGCAAGAGCAAGCAGATAAATCTATGGCTTAAATTTCACTCCTGTCTTCCCTACTCAGCATTGCTTTATTCACAAGGTATATAATAAGTAGTATTAAATCACATCATGCAGTATTGATTCCGGTACAGCCACTCTCCTCATCTGCACTATAAGATATGCCAGTGTTTTCAATCTCCTTTTTATGAAAACAAAATGATGGAAATCTTTAAATGTCAATTTTTAAGTGCATAGAGAGGATCAACACCACCACTACCACCCTGCTTCTCTGCCCCAGCAAATCCTTCTAAGGGTTATGTGAGCAGACTTCAACAGCCATCGTCAGAAGGCTGGCAAGTGGACCAGGAGAAGGAGCCGCTTGGTGTAGGGGTGCAGAGTGGCGGCACCATTCACTTGCCGGGGTTCCCTGGACGAGGTAGCCTGTTTCTGTAGCTCACAGCTGACCATCTGCGTCTCAACTCAGCTCTCGGGTTGGCCTTGTCTTCAAGCCTCTCCCACCTTTCTGCTTGGCCACAAGCTCACTGATGAAGGAGCCATTTGCACCTCTAGGAAAAACAAAGCTAAAGGAAAAAACGTCACCCTATCATATTCCTTTCTAATAGCCCAAGAAGCTTGTTCATTTTGCTGAACATGGGGGAGGAAATGGCTTTAAAAATCAACCAAGAAGACATTTCTCAGCTAATAAAACGAGGAAGACCAGATCGAGTTTTTTACAAAAACGTAGCATTGTTACAATTGTGTCTCTAGTTTTAAAAAACATTCTGATCCACTCCCTTTTAAAAACTCTTTATTATGGATCACATGCATACGAGAAAGTAGACTGGTCTTAAGGAAATGAACTTATTTTCACGTTTGAAGACCTGTGTATGCAGCATGAGATGAAGAACAGTCTCATCCCCCGCATCTCAGAAGCATTCCTCATGCCCCTCCGTCCTGTCACCACTTCCCACCAAGAATAGCTGCTGCCCTTGCTTTTGACAGCAGAGGCTCATCTGGATGTACACGACTGGCTGCTGCCGCTCGACCCCTGTTGCTGTGCTTCGACCACAGTGCAGTGTGCAGCTGGAGAACTGGATCGAGATGTCCTTGTTCCGTACTCTCAAAGCTAGAGTTCTCCAAACTTTGCTGATCACACGACAGCCTACTGTACAGAGAAGGGTTATGTCCTGAAGACTGTGGCACTCATCCACACACCAGCGGTCAGACTTCAGTGGTCTTGTTTACATAGATGTGGTGAGACACAGAGCATGTGTTCTATGTAGCATAGACGAGAAGCACATTTCCCCCCAACCCCACCCCACCTCCCCAATAATAACTTTAATTTTCTCAGGTGAAACCGGCAAACAGACTGAAAGAGCCACTGTTACTAATGGGAGAAGACAACACCAAGAAAGACATGCACTGAAACGGGTAAATGGTCTTATAAGATAAGGTGACCAGACGTCCCGCTTTTGGCGGGACAGTCCCGATTTTTGGAAAGAATGCACGACAAGCTAGGGCATACGTTTTTCGGCTGCCATGTGGCTACTTCACCAGGATATGAGTTTTATCAATGGTGTCCCGCTTTACCAATGTTGTGTTTAGTAACATTCTAAAAGTAGAATGTGGGTAAAACCCCACAGGCCTTAGAAAGCTGAACGAAGACAGAGTGGCAGTCAAAAATACACATGCACAAATTGATTTTTCTAAGCACAGCTAGTGCTTAACAATTAAAATGAGGTTTTACAGATGGTGAATGAGCAGGCATCAGAATAGCGTCTCCTATGCCTCCCAGGAGCCCAACCACTGACAGTCTAGTCAACGTTACACTGACCAAACAATACAAGGTGGACGCGTCCCTATAAAATCTACTCTTTCTC